TCACATCAGTTTATGCAGGTCCCCCAAAACATTACTGCGTTCCCATTAAAGTTTACTTTATTTTGAGGCAGCAACTCTTTCTGAGTCATATTTTGAGTGCTTCTCACACAACTGTATCAGACATATACTGTTGATATTCTTAAGGTATTCATTCGCTAGGTCCTCATTCTCAGTCTGTATTAATCTGTAAGATACACTAAAGCCTGTCCACTGTGATTGACTTCACTGGTACTGGAAATGCTGGAGACATAGCTGCCAGCATCACTGGAGCACACAAGATGCCACAGTATGGAAAACCAGCAGATACGCATAGCTCATACCTACAGAAATAATATTTTGTTCAACTCGGGAGAGAATCTTTAACATGTAATATATGGTTGTCGTGTATCCTTTGAATAAGCATTGTAAGCCCTTACACCTGCCTTAATAGAGTGACCTGGGGTCCACAGTCAAGTTCATTATCCTTTCTGAATTTTGTTATATATGCCTGTAAGTTTTCCATAAGATGCTTTCATATAGAGGAGGCTCTTGTGAGGATAGAATGAGGTTAATGCATTTAAAGCTTAGCATGATGTGTGGCTAAATTTACAACCTTGTACATATTGATCCACTACAGCTAGTCATAAGGAGGGGTGGTGGAATTTTAGGCCCTCTTCCAGGAGCTCTGGCGGCTGTCTGCTGCATGAGAAAGTTTGGTGGTTCAAACCTACCAGCCGCTGCATGAAAGAACGAGTCCGTTCCTATGAAGGTTTACAAAGCTGGGAAACCTATGCAGATTCAGCAGGAGTCAGAATTGTCTCAATATTAGTGGGTTTGGAAACAATTTTCATGGTTTTTAGAGAAATAATATAAAAGTAGGATATATCAAACTAGGTGCAAAAATAACTATACAGAATAAAAGTAGCATACATTTAGAATTTGTAAAGATCCAAAGTATCAGAAAAGTAATACTATTTTAATTCCTTAGCTGTCTGGCAATCTTTAAAGTACTTTTTTTTTTACCCCATGACTCGCAGTCAAGAAAGATTTCAGGCGAGGAACAACATTCAGAACAGAGGCAGAGAAGAGGGTTGAATGGAAAGAGTGAGTCTATTGAAGGGGATGATTTTGTAGAGAATTCTAATAGGCCTTTAGCTGTTCAAGCACCTAGTGGAATGTAGCGTTCTGCCATTTATTCAGCTAATGGCAGACCTTTCACCATTCATGAGCTGCTTTTCTCCCATCATGGACTGGCTTTCTAGTGGGTCTTCTGCTATGGGCTGAATCTGGGCACCTCAGACTCCCTTCTGTGCCCTTGTCCCAGGACCAAAACCCAGTGGTAGGTCCAGGCATTGTGGATGTAATGGGGATAGCTGTCTTTCCCCACCCAGTCTTTTCTCTGGCTCTGGTCCTGTCCGCAGTCCTTGGTGCTGGAGAGATAAGTGGGAACTGTGGGCCCCCCTCTCTTTTGCATGAGGATTTCTGCTGTCAGTCCCTTCTTTTCTCCCCTTGCCCAGCAGCTCCATCGAGCTAACAGTGGTGTTGGTTACGTTCTTTACAACTTGTGAACATTCTCAAAATTTAGGTTCTGGTGTTTCTGGTTTATGTGCTCAAATTAAAAAAAAAAAAAATTATTCTTAGAGTAGTACTTGGCCTCAAATCACACATCTTCGTTCTCTTCCCTTTGTCAGTATTAGACACCATATTTATTTCATTTAATTAACATAATGCTGTTTGCGTGTGGCCTGTTTGTAGATGAACTTTCTAAAAGAATGAATTCAAATTTCATAAATGTGAAAAGGTGGTTTTGTTCTGAGGGTTCATGCGGCCTCGTCAAGTCCCTAGAATTTAGTTTTTGAGTTTGCTTATTACGTAATATTTTCAAGAAGGGAGAAGGAGAGAGGGAAATGGAAGTAAAGATTGAGAAAGAGAGAGAGAGAGATTGAGAGAGAGCGGGAGAGATGTCTAATCATCTGCAGACAAAGGAACTTAAGACAAGCAGGACTTGACTAACCAGTTCCAGGGGAAATTCTCTGTGTCAAAGTTAGTTCACATTAAATGTTTAAAATTAACCCTTCACACATAATAGGCTTCTTCTATGAGTTAGAATCAAGTAGATGACAGTGAATTTTACTTAGTTTGATTGGGTGTGACCTCTGTGTACACTATAGTTGTGTCATGAGTTGTCCATTTATTGCATTTTGGTAATATAAAAACCAAAAACTCGTTGATTTTCCCCAGGCACAGGCATTACAATACTCCACTCTCATCCTCCTCCTGCTGAATGTAGAAGCTGTGTAGCAAGATTTCTAGCTCTAACCTGTGTACAGTGATGTTTCACTACTGCATGAGGAAGACACCTTATTGCCTATCGATGCTGCCGAAAATAAACTTGGGGACTGAAAGCAAAGTCTTAGGAGCACAGCACTTGGGTGCTGTCCAAACTGGCAGTCCCAGAGCTGCTGCTCTGACAAACTGTTGCTTCAGCCTGGCCCCACTTTGAGCAGGCTTAAAGCCTTTATCTCTTTTGATGAAAACAATCACTGGAATTACTTTTTGTTCTCCACATTCAGACATATTTCATTTCACTGGTGTTTGAAATGTATCTCTTCACTCTGTCTCCTACATCAACACCTACCTAAAAGTACTATTAAAACATGATTTTCAAACTCTTTTCAAACTCAATAATTACTCTCTAAATAAAACTGAACTTGTCTTTCAATGTGCAAAACAGGAAAAATAAGGAAGTTCTGTATTGTAGGACCCTCTTTCTTTCCACGGTTCACATGCAATTCCCAGGAGTATAATCTGAAAACCTCTAGAATAATGGCAAGAACCCTAGACAAAGGCGTCACCATCACTGGAATAACTTAATTACATTTAAGAAGCATTTGTTAAACATGTTCGGTATGACAAGCAATACAAATCCTCGGAAAAACAAACACATTATAATAGCTTATTTTGAGTACAGGAAAAAGCATGTACATGGATAAGTAAAATACAATGCCATAGATGCTATCACAGGTTTCTAGACAAGTTTAATGATATGATTCAACCCGTCTGGAACTTGGTTTCTCTAAATGTAAAATAACCAACCTGAAACAACCTACTTATTTTACTTGTATGGCTCTGTTAATATTATTCTGCTACTGATTTTGATCAGGAAGGGAAACTATGGAAAATGAAGATTTTTTAAAATGAAGTCACGCTTGGATGTTACATGTGTAAATTATTATTATTTTTTAATTGAGAAAAAAAAATATGTCTTGTAAACAGAGAGACAAGGGTAGCAACTAGAGAGATGTTAAGGAGCCACCACCACCCCCCACTGCCCTCCTGGGGCCTCATGTGGGGTTTCAGAGGCTGCACACCTTTATCAGGAGCCCTGGAAGTGCATCGAGGGTTTCTAACCTTGAGGTCAGCAGCGTGAAACCATAAGCCATTCTGCAGGCGAAAGAAGAGGCTATTTATTGCTGTGAAGAGATACAGTGTCATAAGCCCAAAGGGGCAAATCTACCCTACCCTATAGGTAGGGTCGTTGTGAGTTGAAATCTATTTTTGTGTTGTTGTTGTTGTTGTTTTGAGGAGGGGAGAGTAAATCCTTTTTGGGAGCAGATAGTCTCATCTTTCCCTTACAGAGCTGTCTGTGGGTTTGAACCACTGACTTGTAGTTTGCAGTTGAGTGCTCACCTGACAGCCCCACTTTACTAGCATACTTCCTCCTCCTTCATGACTGATAGGATAATACCGATCTATCACCCAAGTTAAAAAGATTAGGGAAAAGGAAAGTGCAAGCCTGGGAATGCTAAAAGGTGTCAGGAAGATCCTAATTTTTATCTCCTGGCATTAAAAAATGCATTGATTATTAAAATTGGGGTTTTGAGGTACAATCTGTATACAGTACCATCCAAAGAACATCATATACCGTAATTTGATCTCTTTTGAAAACTGGGTCAGACTGCACAGCCACCACTCCTATGGAAATACAGATTACCTGCATTGCTTCACAAAGTGCCCAGGTCACTTCTGTCTTTCTCACCCCAAAAGTAACCCTGCTCTGATTTTCAAAGTTAGCTATTTATATGATTGGCTACACTTTTATTAATAGGTTTTTCAGGGACTAGTAAATAGTGCAGCATGCTGATAAACAACTCCGTATGTCCTTTTACTAATTAATAATTAAGTAAAATGAGAAGATAAATCTACTTGAGAGTACATAAATGAAGAGTGAATGAAATTAATGTATTTCAAACTGAGAATAGAGTTTGAACACAAATTCAATATGGAAATTAGAGTAAAGAATCACACTTCAGGGAAAAGATCTGGTGTATTTTCGACCATGTCATGACATTCAAGTTAAAATTGTACAAGATCCAATTTTCAGATTGATTATAGCAATATTATCTTTATTTCTTGTACTTCCTGAGAGATGTTTCTATCACAATTATCTGCTGGAAAGAAAAATTATAAGGAGAAGAAGACATGTGACACATTTAAATTTCAAGCCTGGAATGAGATTAATAATCATCATCATTTTACGAAATATTCTATGAGTTGTGCATTATATTTCAGATTCACTATCCTAGGCTTATATTAGCTGCATGTTACACTTGCTTATCACTCAGTGTTTATATATTTTAAGTTTTCCTTTGATAATAAACCATTTCTAGGCGGATCTCTTCAGTTTCCCTCTGAAGTCTCCCAGGAAAAAGTTGAGCTTGTAGTCTGCTATTTTAAATGTCTTCTTGTCAATGAACTTTGACTTTATCACTTGTTTTACTTACACTTTCAGAGCTTTATAGAAAAATCAGTAGATTGCGATACTTGAAAGTAAGTAAATGAACAAATGAATGAATGCCTGGGACACGCACCCACTAGGCACTGTGGGTGGAGCATAGGCAGCCAGGTGACAAAGGCAGAAAATTCAACACAATATGATGGAAATGGACCAGTCTAAAGAACAAATGCAAAGTTATGCTGTTGGGTAGAATTATCATTGGGTTTTTGTTTTTATTTTACAGCCACAGTGTTCCTAGAATTTTGGAAAAGGAGAAGAAGTATGCTAACCTATGCTTGGGACCTTACTGAATGGGAAGAGGAGGAGGTAAGATTTTAGGGTCCAGGGCATATAAGAACCAGGAAGATAAAGTAGGCTAAAACCATACACTGATTTACATATTCAGGCCAAACATCTAGGCAGCATAAGCATGTTTTGTTTTGTTTGCTTTCATCATCGTTTCTTTTTAATAAATATAACCCAATGGTTAAATAAGTAAATTTTCAAAGCGTTTATGTGATGATTCCTTAAATTACCCTAGTGAAAACATTTCTGATTAAAATATACTTTAATGTTTCTGCAGAACATAATGTATATCTAATTTTTTAATTTACTTTTTTGTGAGGACAATTAAATTTGGCCCAATCCTAGGGTGTTTGTATCAACTCTTTTTTTTTTTCCTCTAGTTTTTTTTTTTTTTTTCTTTTTTAACATTTTATTAGGGGCTCATACAACTGTTATCCCAATCCATACACACATCAATTGTGTAAAGCACATTTGTACATCGTTTCTCAAAACATTTTCTCTCCATTTAAACCCCCGACATTAGGTCCTCATTTTTCCCTTCCCTCTCTGCTCCCCCCTCCCGCATGAGCCCTTGATAGTTTATAAATGGGTATTTTGTCATATCTTGCCCTGTCCGACGTCTCCCTTCACCCACTTTTCGGTTGTATGTCCCCCAGGGAGGAGGTCACACACAGTTCCATGTAATCCGTTCCCTCTTTCCTACCCATTCTCCCTTTACCCTCCCTGTTTTGCCACTCACACCACTGGTCCTATAGGGCTCATCCGTCCTGGATTCCCTGTATTTTCAGTTCCTATCTGTACCAGTGTACCTCCTCTGGTCTAGCCAATCTTGCAAGATAGAATTCGAAAGGTTTCCTCCCCGCTCCCACTACCATGACTCGAATTCTATCTTGTATAAACTCTTATAGGAAACTTTAAAAACAAATGTAAGGTGAGGATTTGGTCCTTTGGAGAACATTATTTCCTCCCACAGGAAACCGTCCGCCCCCAGTTTGAAGCCAAGTATTACACCGTGGAGAGAGTGAATCCCATCACTGGGAAACCTGAGCTGTATCAGCCCTTCTCTGACAAAATCACCCGTCTCCTGGTTTCTGTCTCAGGAATTTTCTTCATGGTAACGTAGAACCGTTAATATTAGACCCTAATCACATGGATTCCCCAGAGGGAAAGGGGGAGTGGTGGATTATAGATGTAGAAGTAAATTCTATGATACCTACTCCTGTTGTGGCCTAGGGGATTCAAGAAGCTATTCTTTTATCAGCACTTTAGAAACCTTCATAGAATTGAACACATTCGAAATTACAAGAGGCATTGAGATCTGACATAGGGAATTTGTATATATCTTTCAATTAATTAAATGTTACAACAAGCGGATATTGTAAGAAATAAAACAAATCATATGAATTGTTCTAATAAACGAAGTATATCATACATTGTTAAAGACATTTTATTAGAATGTGGCAATGTGGACAGATTTGCATTTTACTGTGACAATGTTTTAATTGCTCCAAACCAACTTAACTCCTATGCTATTTGTTTTGACAGCAATGTAGCATTAGTTCCGTAGAGGGGAGGGAGGGGAGGAAGCGGGGAGAGCGTATCTTCTCTTAGAATGATAAACACTTCTAGTTCTTGAGGAAGATGCATCCCTTTCATCTTAGTAATGATAACCAGTGTGCACGTCTTCCCCGGCCCCACGCTGCAGATTTCCTTGGTGATCACCGCGGTGTTTGCCGTCGTGGTGTACCGTCTGGTTGTCATGGAGCAGTTTGCATCATTTAAGTGGAGTTTCGTCAAACAGCACTGGCAATTCGCGACCTCCGGAGCTGGCGTCTGTATTAATTTTGTAATCATCATGATGTTGAATGTTGTAAGTGTTACAATCCTATTTTTCAGTCATTGTAAAAGCTGGGGTTGGAGAGGGTTCTCGCGTACCTTTACTCTGTTTGTAGTCACCGATGAAAACACAAAAAACAAAACCCCAAAGCCAACCGCATCCTTTCCAAGTGGATTCACTCACAGTGACCCCAGAGGGCAGTAGAACTATGCCATACGGTTTCCCAAGCTATAATTTTTATGGCAAGTCCTGCAGAGTGGATGGGGGATTCATTAATTCGGAGCCAAGCAGCGCCAGGGCTTCTTATTCTCATTGAAGGCACATTAGCAATGACAACTCAGTTTAGCAGAAAAGAGTTTGCTTCTATGGTTTAGGTGATGGCCTTGCGATATTAAAGCCAATTCTAGTTGTACTGTCTTGCATATCCTTTGAGTTTATAACTTAGATTAGTGATAACTGTTTAGAATTGTCTTTAATTCTTTTTTAAAATTCTTTTAAATAGCTCTACAAAGTTAATATTATCTCCCATTTAAATAAATTTAAAAACTGAGGGCCAGAAAGGTTAAGTAATTTTCTGAAATCATATACCTAGTGTGTGTTAGTGCTACCATATTTGCATCATAATACAATTTATGTAGATAAATCAACAATGCATAAGTAATCATGTTGACATTAGGTATAGGGAATATATTTTGGCCCCATTGACGATGATGTTACATGATTAGGGTTGAGGAGATTGGCATCATTTCCTAATTCATTTTCAAATAATCAGGAAAGACTTTAAGAGAAAAGGGAAGAATTCAGTGTGAATGAGCAAAAACAAGTGAACAAGTAATAGATAATATATTCTATATGACTCTCATCTTAGAACAGTTAGTTTCTAAAAGTATATAGTAAAAATGAAATAATAAAATATAAAGGATGGGAGGCCTGCATGGTAGTGCAGGTTGCTAACTGCACAAAAACCCCACATTAAAAAGGAACCATTCGCATGAGGGTAAACCCACTGCCATCAAGTAGATTCTGATTCATAATGACCCTACTTGGGGTTTCTGGGACCTATACATCTTGAAGGGAGCAGAGAGCCTCATTTTTCTTCTGCTGAACAGCTTGTAGATTCAAACCAGCAAATGTGTGCTTGACAGACCAAAGCCCAACTAACCTACAATGCCAATAGAACTTCTTACGTTGTTAGTTACTTCCAGGTTGGTTCTAACCTAAAGCAACTCTGTGTACAACACAATGAACACTGCCCTATCTTCTGTCGTCTTCACAAGTACTGCTATGTTATGGTACCCACTGTACCCGTCTATGTCACTAAAGGCAATCCTCTTTATCACCTTACCAAGCTTAATGATTTTCTCCAGGGGCTGGGTCATCCTCACAACTTGTCCTAAATAGGTGAGACAAAATCTTATTATCCTTGATGCTAAGGAATGATCTGGCTGTACTTCTTCCAAGACAGATCTGTTTGCTCTTCTGGGCAATCCATGATATATTCAAGATTCTTTGCCAATTCCATAATTCAAAGACACCAATTCTTCATTCTTCCTTATTTATTGTCCACTTAGCACATTCATATGAGGTAATTGAAAATTTCTCCTCATTGACATTATCAATTTATATATAGAGATAGATAAAAATAGACCTCTATAAGAATGTAAAAAATCTTTTTTCTAACAAAATCAGGATGGTTGTTTTCTAGTAGGAGCTGGCCCCATTATTTGAGTCAAAGATAGCTACATAATTGATATGTTTAATAGAAGGAATCAACTCTTCTAATCCTAAATTGCTATATGCTTCATCTTGGTTGATTGGTTGACATAAAAGTGGCTATTAAGAGACCTGTTATTTATGATCAAGTAGTTATTCATGATTAGACTCATGACGATAAAGGAGCTTCATTGTGCATTGGGTTACGATTGGACTGCTAACCCAAAAGGCAACAGCAGTTTGAACCCTTCAGCTGCTCCACTGGAGAAATTCATATAGATTTGCAATCTAAGGAAGCCTCTGCCGCAGGTCCGATCCATCCAGTCCAGTCACAATGAATTGGAATTGACTTGAAAACAGTGGATTTAGGCAGTGTGTTATAAAATTGAAGTAGATACCCCAAGGAGATGACCAGTCATAAAAGACATTGGGGGGAGAGGGGAGGACATAAACTGGTAATGAAATCTCATAAAAGCATAGTAGTAAAAGAAAATTCTGTTTAAGTTTAAATGAAAAGATAATGCTTCATTTTGTAATTTATTTTCCATAATTTAGACTAAGGTGTAAAGCTTCCTGAGCAAATATAAACCTGACTTTTTAAATATGTCTGTCAAAGGTAGTATCAGCAATCAAACTAAAGAACATTTACTTCTCTACAAAAAATGCAAATATTCTTTAAAATATCATCATAATTAGCTAAGAGAAGTAATATAATAGGAATCATATTGGTAATATCTTAGTAATATTATAGATATGTCTTCTTTATATTTATCTAATATTATATATAAGACAGCACATTTTATACAATAGCTTGCATACACCATTTAGAACTCTCGTTGATTTAGATGCCATCAAGCCTATTCTGACCTGTAGCGATCCTGTGCAAACCAGAACCAACGCTGCCTGGTCCTGTGCCATCTTCAAAATCATTTCCGGGCCTGCGCCACTGGTGCAGCCTCTGTAGTAATCTATCTCCTGGAGGGCCGTCTTCTTTCCGCTGCCTCTCCGCTTTACCAAGCTGAACGTCTTTCTCCAGGAGCTAGTCTCTCCTGACAACTTGTCCCAAGTCTATCAGATGAAATCTTGCCATTCTTGCCTCCGAGGAGCACGCTGGCCATACTTCCTCCAAGCGAGCTCAGTGTGTCCTCAGTGGCAGGCGGTGGTGCGGTCCCGGTTCTTGTCCCGCTCTGCAATTCAAATGCAGCGGTTCTTCAGTCTTCCGTATTCAACATATCCGACTTTCCTTAAATCCTAACTGCTTTTGCTTTTGTATTTTTACATAAAGATTCAAGATATTTTTAAAAGTGGAAGAGCTCATAAACGCTTCTTCGCCCATACTAGTAGAAAAGAGGTAGGTTTGAAAAAGGGTTTAGCTTAAAGTGAGTGAGCTATGCAGCCAACTCAAGCAAAGCTAAAAGAAGATGTTCATCAGATTTAACCAGTTCAAAACAATAGCCTTCTGAATGCATGTATTCTCTTCGTTGTAAAGGCACATTTGTAGTGATCAAACAATTCTGATTTACTTGAATATACAGAATTAATGTAAGGGCTTCATAAACTGAAAAGATAAAAATAATATCCAAATGCCAAAATCTTTTTTTAATATACCAACCAAATTATATTAATCTAGAAAACTAAATGAGACCTCTCTTTGTGTTATGTTTTTGGACCACCATTCAACATAGATATTGATGATAGATTGGGCTAAATTAAACACACTGTGTTCTTTTTCTCTGAATTATTCCATGTTATTGTTCTACTTCCATTTCTTAAGTCCAGAAATTTCATTCCTATGCTGCTTTCAGTAGCAAAGTCACTGAAGAACTCAGACTGTATCTAATTTCCCTGCGCACCTGGTTACCAATTACCATGAAAACAAGTTATTATAGAACAGGGTGGATCAAAGGATTAAGCCACACATCTGAACCTGGACAGAATGACTCATTTAATAAGCAGGTTGGCTTTTACATATAATTTGTTTGTTTAGCTTTTAGGTGTCTGTGTGTATAGTTTCTAGAAATTTAGAAAGGATTTTACTGACAAGGTGAAGTTAGCTCTTCATTCTGCAGATACGACGTTGGATTTCACCCTCATGAGGAAGAGCAGATCCTGAGCCTCTGACGCTGAGATGAAGAGTTGGAAAACCTGTTAGAACTTCTGAAGAGGCGCCTTCACATCGCCCTTGCCCTGTCTCTGTTGTTTTCCCAATTCATGTTTACAAATCACACGGAGCCATAGGAAGATGATGGCTTCTCATCTCAAAATGAGTTCTAAAGTCCTTACCAGGGTCCACCAGGAACTGTAAAAGTTTCATCTATTAACACATTGCTCCTTGCCTCATTCCCATCTGCTCCCTACCTTCTTTGTCAGAGCATGTGTATGTCATATTCCTATGAAAGGAAGAGAGATAGCTGAGATAGGACCCTTTTCTTAACTGATGACAGGCTCTGCTCGACCATCAACCTCTCAGAAAGTCTCTCCTGACCACTCTGACAAACACCACCCCTTTCCTACTGTGCTGTATCTCCTCAGCCATGTTCAGTTTCCCTTACAGCATTTGTATCTCCCACACAATCCCATCTTTACTTATTTACATATTGACATCTAGGACCCGTGTCTACTGGGTTCACTGCTGTTTGGCTCTTCAAACACTGCTCACCCATGAAGCCCACCACCGTGGAGCTGATTCTCACAGTCAACCTCAAGGACCTTGGAGTTTACAGCCATTGCTTAAACCGTTGTGCCACCAGAGGTCTTTCTTGGTCCATTAGAAATTCCCGATAATTCTTTTAACTCAATGTGTTGACTAAAGGGAGTCCAGCTTCCAGAATGTGCTAGTGTGTGATTTTTTTTTAAAAATACATCCTTTTATTGGGGGAATCTTTCAGCTCTCCTATCAATCGACACATCAGTTGTATCAAGCACGTGTGTCCATATGCTGTCATCATCATTTCTAAAACATATTCTTTCTACTTTAGCCCTTGGTATCAGCTCCTCTTTTTTCCCTTCCCTCCCACAGCCTCCCACCCTCATGAGCCCTTGATAATTTATAAATTATTCTTATTTTCATATTACACCATCTACTGTTTCCTTTCAACCACATTTCTGTTGTTCATCCCCCTGGGGGTGGGGGTGGGGTTGAACTTCAATCATTGAGATTAGTTCCCTCTTTATCCCCCTTCTCCCCCAACCTTTCCCTTCCCCTCATGGTATTGCTACTCCCATTATTTCTCCTGAGGGGTTTATCTGTCCTGGATTCCGTGTGTCAAGTGCTCTTATCTGTACCGGTGTACATGCTCGTGTCTAGCAGGATTTGTAAA